GAACCTCTGAGGAAACAATTAACCGCAGAGCACAGAGGCATGATGGGAAGCATCCAGAACCTCCACCGCCATAAGAGCCACCAGTGCCAGAAATCACAGCGTAATTCCAGTTGAGCGAGTGTGTCAGCTGTCACACTGACAGCAGATTATCACCACATGGCACCACACACTGAGATGGAGATATTTTCTCCAACAAAGCTCAGGGTTTTTGTGTTGTCATGTGTGTGTGTGTGTGTGTGTGTGTGTGTGTGTGTGTGTGTGTGTGGGCTTGTGTTTATATCCGTCACTGGGTATTAACATATCTGTAGTGAAAGCAGATTTATGTGTGTGAATGTGTGTCTAACAGGATTTTCTCCTCCTCACACACACAGATTTACAGTAAAGTCCAGGAGGAATCTGAGGCAGATGGAGAGGTTTTGGATTATTTTAAATCAACAAAATAAACGTCTTATTTTCCTGCCAAAAATGCAATGAATGAATGAATGAATGAGTGAGTAGGTCTTGTGCACTACATACCTCTCAGTCAGTCACCTTACTAACAAATGGAGAGCATCCGTCCAAGAAATCATGTAGTCTGAGGGTGCTTTCACACCTAACCTGTTTGGTTTGGTCAAAGCAAACTCAGGTCTGTTTGTGCTGTTAGTACGGTTCAACGGGTTGGTGTTAAAGCCGCCAGTCAAACCCTGGTGTGGACCAAACAACCCAACCGTGACCGCTCAAAAAGGCGGGTCTCTGTCTGCCTCCAAACGGACTCTGGAGTGGTTTGTTCATGGTGTGAAAGAAAACCGCCACAGGATTTTATGACAGCAGATGTGATTTTGCAACAGCTAAACCAACGATAAATCCATCTGCTAATATTCATTAGTGCAAGACTTTTACTTACAGTGTGGTGTTATTAAGTTATAGATCTGAATACTTTGTCCACCACTGACTGTAACAGTGGATAGAAACGCGTTAATTCACATTTTCTTCTGCAGATTCAGAATCAGTTTGTTGATTCAGCGTTTAACTTCAGACATCTCAGTAGTTTCCAGTGTTGCCTGTGACTTCAGCACTTTTATAAATGAATGATTGACGTGTTGTCTGACTGTGTGGACCCGTCTCTTCTGGTCGATGTGTGATGTTTGCTGACCAGTAAAATCTGTCCCACTATAAACAGCTGTGGTTTGTTTCCAACATGGCAGCGTGATGATGTCATGGAATACCACGAACCACAGAGAGAGACAGAGGGGAAGCTCCTCGTCAGCTGTTCCTGAATGACTGAGACTGCTGCATGTGTGTTTGGACAGCTGCTGGGTGTCATTGTGTCGGTTCAGCCAAAAGTCAATGAAAAGATCAGATCATTTGGTCTGATCTGATCGGTGTGATTGATTTCTTTATTATCAAAGATCTAATCAATCCTGTACCACTCTGATATGAATGTTCACTGCTTCAGTTATGCGTTTGCAGTAGTGCTGCAGTCACAGTAACTTAAGTAGTTATGTTAGTACATTAGTAAAAGGTATATGTGTTGATTGTAGGAGGAACACAGGGGACACGTTCACGCAGTAGTTTCAGATTTGCTTCATTTTCAGGCTGGTTTTGTGGATTTGGAGCTAAATGTTGTGCCTGGGGCACGTCGTGTATTAATGATGCTCGCTACCTGGAGAGGTTGGAAAAAGATATACATTTCTTCCCTGTTCCAAAACCCAAATCAAACCCTGAAAAGTATAGGATTAGCTAGCTAGCTACTGAAGATATAGCCTACTGAATGTATACACATGCTGCCTTTGCTTTGTAATGATTATAACAGTGAAACAAAGTCCGACCCTGCTGTACAGGAACCAGTGAAGGGAAGCAGGGAAACTTTGCTGATATTGAACCAGCTGTGTGTCATTGCAGTGGCAGCAGCACAGGGGCAAAGCCAAACACCATTCATCTGCACACACTGCGATGCCACACAGCTGGTTCAATATCAGCAAAGTTTCCCTTTATATTCATTGTCTTGTGTGTCGATCAGCAGTGATGTGGTGGTTCACTTTTACACTGTGATCTGTAGCCTATAGTTCGGCTTTAGCTTCTAACTATCTTTGTCTTCTTAACCTGTTGTTGCTGCTGAGTCAGTTTGACATCCGGGATATATCCTTCAAACACAGACTGTAGACCCCTCTGTCTGCTTCTCTCTGGAATCACTCTTTCATTTGTCCAAAAATATGATCATATTTCTTCAGGGAGTGCAGTTAGTTACAGTGTGGGCTCCATGCTTACTCCAACAGCTTGTCGGACCACCACAAAGGGGCTGGGCTTAGCAAAAGGTCAACTGGTCCTCACAAAATCAATTCAGTAAAACAAAAACTGTATTTGGTGTGCTTCAAGCTGTTTTTGTTTCGCTAATTTGCAGTAGGTACACGACACTGTGGACCCATCAGACACAGTAGAGACAACTGTGCTCCCTCGAAACATACTGACTGCACATGAAAAGAAAAGTTCTGCCATTTTGTCTTCTTAAAAGTGTGATGAATTGACTATTAGTACTCATGGATGTTCAGATCACTGGATTACTCTGATACCACAGCAAACTTTAAAACATGATGATTCTCAAGGAAGTTCTGCAGAGACAACAGTGTCCATCAACAGCACGATAAAATATCAAGTGTTTTTATTGAGCGAAATCAAAAGAAAATAAGTTCACAGTGAACATTTTGCAGATGTTTTGAAGTGAGTGGGTTTACAGTGGATTAATAAACAACTGCACCTCCACTTTCTTTTCTCTCTTCAAAGCTTTTCCAGTAATAAATATCATGCTCTACAAACCTTGAAATATATTTCCATGTACCCTGTTCAATCTCTGTTCCTCCCTTACTGAAGGACGGCTGATCACACACTCAAACATCACAAACCTTCTGTCACACAGAGAGGAGGCTTTCACACAGGGAACCTGCAGCTCTGCTCTTCATCCTCTGAGACGTTCGTCTCACAGATCAAAACACTGATTTAAAGGGGTGACTGTATTTTTTGAGTTGAACCCAGTTTTCCAAGTTAAGTGACTAATGTGGACAACAGCTTTTAAAATTGTCAAGTTACAAGTCAAACAGGGAGCAGAAACACAGTCAGGATAATGTGTCAGTGTTGTCATCTGCTCAGCGACTTCCCAATGTATCTCATTAAAGTCTCACAAACATCACATCCTGCATCTCAATAAACCTGTCAGTACTCCAGAGTTCGTTTTGCATCTTCCAATTTCTTTATCAATCCTCACAGTTATGAAAAAGCTGGAAAATGTGCAGCTCTTCGTCCCAATCGACATCAAACTTCCCCCCTCTGCACGCAAACATCTTTTATGGGGCTCCTGCAGACAGCAGCTGGTTACAAGCACACAGGGCTGAATCCTGACAACAGCAGGGAGATTCAAAATGTGACGGACGAGCAAACAGAAAATAAATTCCTCTGTTAGCCAGAGCAGCTCACAGAATGAGCCTCAACACCTGAGCCAACAAGCAGCAAACAAACAGAGGTCGAAGGTCAAGGATCACAGCATCCTGACAACACATGCAGCAGATTCAAAGCTGACAGTTAGAGGAGTGTTTCTCTCCCTCTGTGTCTCTGACTCTATTCAGAGAGTCGAGGCTGTGAACATCAACACCAGCTCCAGTTTTAGGCCTCTGGCTCTGCTTTCGACCTCCCTGACAAATTGTGGCAGCCATCACGCCCTGCAGGCCTCAGTCTGACAGGCTTCACATGTGCTTCTGAATCATCCACAAATGATCATCAAAACCATCCTCATGGAACAGGAAAGAGGCGGAAACGGCAACCAACATGAAACAGGAAGCAGATGACAGAAAACAAACAGCAAAGCAGAATTAAAGGATGATTCCACTGTTCCTCCAAAGGATACCATATTTGTTTTATGTAGTTGCATGTGTTTTCTGTCCTTCGGTGCAGCCATTGGCTACCATTCATTTAAATAAACCATAAAAATCAACTTCTGAAGTTGGAACTGAAATGACATAATTGTCATTAAAAACTTTTACAAAAATATCAACAAATCTCCTTATCAAATAATTTATGTCTGAAACTGACTCCTTAACATATATATTTTTAAAGCACTTAAAAGTGTTTGAAAGGTGTTATACAAACAAAACTTCCTTAATCGAACCTTGGCCGCTGCAGCCTATTGGGCGCACACGCCACCAGGTGAGCTAGAGGTCGCCCCAGGGGGCATTTTATTTTGATAGAGGACAGAAGTGAGAAGACAGGAAATGAGGCAACAAAAGTCCGCAGCAGAACACCAACCAGGGACGTCGCAATTACACCATCAGCTAATAAAAGAGAGAGATGACTGGTTGCTATGGACATGCAAACAGAGATCAAAATCTCATGTCGGGTGTTCGTGGAGAACGGGAAACAACAGGATCGACAGGCAGGCAATCCAGGCACTCCGAAAAAATACAGAAAAATATTATAGTGGCTAAATCGCTAAAAGAACCAACATGTTTCGACCATTGCAGGTCTTCGTCAGGGCTTTCCAAACAATTTGAAAGCCCTGACGAAGACCTGCAGTGGTCGTCCTGGCTTTCTATATATTCTCAGAGTGCCTGGATTACAGGATCAGCTGCTTGAACCATTTGGCCACCAGGATGCCCCGCCTCCATCTTTTCTGTCTCAACACTTAGTTCTCTAAGTGTTGAGACAGTAATCTAACTTTTACTTATATTAGAAACAGAGACATTTTTGTTGTTCCGAAGATAGAACTTCAGGACTCAGTTAGGGACAGAAGAACTTGATAAAAAGACTTTTTTTTACACTGTTTAAGATTTGAAAACACTTGACAAAGTTAGAAACATGATGATACACAGTGGAAAAATCTCCATACTTGATCATAAGTTGGTCAAATGTGCATCAAATACCACCAGGACTTGCTGACTTTTACAAAAGAGACACACGTCAGACACAGCAAGTGTACGTGCCGATGGATGTGTTGCAGGTGAGATGAAAAAGTGTTTAATAAATCCATCTCTTACCCTAGAGATAGTCAGCGGCATGTTGAAGTCCTTCCCCCCCTGCAGCCTGAAGCCCCAGGGGCCGGGGCCGGGCAGCGACACAGTGTAGGTGCTCATTCTTCCAGACAACTAAATGATCCTCCGAAATGGACGATGGCGATTAAACCAAATTTGAAAATTTAAAAAACCCCACAGCTGCTGGAGGAATGGGAGGAAGGGCCTGCGTCGAGTAGCCTCTGAAAGAAGACAAAGATATGAGACAGGTGAAATGATGAAGACACAAACCTGAAGATGAAAGTTTAAAATGTGCGAAACACACAAACCCAAACTGTGAGAGAAAGAAAAAGCTGAGAGAGGAGAAAGAAGAGGACTTGCCTGCTCAGAGGAGCTGAAGTGACAGCCTAATAATAACCAGAGATAGCATTGTGGGGGGTGGGGGGGTGAGGCAGGGTGAGGCAGGGTGAGGCAGGGGCAAGGGGGGTTGAAGGAAAGGAGGGGGGGGGGACTTATATGGTGTGAAAGGGGACACCCGGTATGCCAGGCTCGCCGTGATTCACCGGAGCTAATATAGACCCAGCAGATACTTCTAGACTCCCTCACCCCCTGCCTCCCTCCCTCACCCCCTGCCTCCCTCCCTCACCCCCTCATCCCGTTACGCCCAGGGTCTCCCTCGGACCCAATCAGGGGCGATGCCAGGAAACGTCTCATTATCTTCGTGGTGATAAAAGCCAAAACTGAAAGGCCACGAGTTAAGTGGCTCCGATAGCTGAAAGGTCAGCAGCAGATGAGTTGTTACAGCGAGGCTGCAGGTTTAAATCCCTCCATATGTCACTGCTGGAGTGCCTTACAGCAGGGGATCAAACCTCAAACTGCTCCTCCGGATCTGTCACCAAACAGTTTGACTGAGCTGTTTTATCTTTTTCTAGATTTATATTATTAACTCTGCTGCAACAAACAATTTGCAGATTCTTCTTTTAATCATTTTGTGTACGTAACTTCATGTAGGTATGAAAAAAGGTCAAGATGACAGAGCATGTATTTTCCGTCCAACAGTCCAAGCCTAAGGCCCAGAAACACCAAACTGACACAATGAACTTGCCTGTGTCTCGGTCAAAAAGTTGCACTTGAACACACCACTAAGTCTACAGTCAATGGTCAACCAGCACATACGTTCTGCGACTGCATGAGAGGTAATAACTCTCCACACCAGCAGGCAGCAGTCGTCTGTATTTGTCAGTCTTTTTTCCCATTGTCCAATCAGATGATTTCATAGGAGGGCCTTCTGTGGTGGTCATGACAATAAGTTTACACTTGGTAAACAATGGAGGAGAAACTAGTGGTAGCAGTTGCTGTATATCCAGAGCTATACGACCCGACGATAGACAACAGGTTGTCAAACTGCCCCTGAGTCATCCTAAATTATGCCTGGAAACAGCCATCATGGAGGAGAAGCTCCTGGACCAACTGGTGGTACTCCCCATGATCCACCCTCTTTTTTATGGTCTCATGTACCCACACAGATCTCTGTTTATCTGCTGACAGCCTCTCACCCTCAACCAGAGCTACAGCAAGTACCCTCTGCCTCAACATTTTAGGAACTACATACTGATTACTGTAATAACAAAACAAAAAGAGAGAGACTGATTACACAGGAAGGTTAGACGTGATGGGGTGGTTGCCTGGCAACAATAAAAAGGCGCAGCAAGCATTTTTTTCACTAGTGGCATTTGATCGGGGCCTTACCGTGCACTAGTGAACAAAAATACCATCAATTACATAACAGTTTCTGCTGAAGAGCTCAATGGCTTAAGAAATAATAATCTTACCTAATATAACAAGTTTGTATTGATTTCACTCCCTGAGATCACTGAGCTGAACAGCCAATCAAAGTGATTTCATTCATCAACGCGCTCTGACACCAATTCAACATGATGATGAATCGTTCGAAAAACAGCCAACAAGGGCCGACTGGTGCCAACACTGCGGGGCACACTGCAGAAACTCAGGCGACAGATGCTAACCCTGCATTAATTGACCAAACTGTCAATGTGTTGGTCTGTCTCTCGATACTGTCTGACTTCCTGTCTGTGGCTCTCAGCTCCAAGCCCGTTGGTTCCTACTGAAAACGTAAATCTTTAAAAACAAATTTAAAGTTTACCTGTTTAAAGTTTATTGTCAAACAAACAGAAGGAAACAGTGCATTTGTTTGGAACTATTTTCAGCGCTGGATTAATCCACATTTGGTGTGAGTGAGTACTAGTGAGTATTTGTGGCAGCAGGGCGGTGTATGAGGGATTGAGTCAAAATAAACTGGTGATGAAGGAACATGTCAGGCTGTGCAGCAGGGTGTCTCATTGATACGGCTGCCCCCTAACAGTCAACCAAACATTCGTCGACCAGAAAGGTCATTAGTCGGAAAGATTTCATTGGTTGCTTAGTCGCAGAAAAAAAAAACCAACAAACATGAAACTCTATTAGGAGCTGCGCCTTTTCAAGGCAGCCCTACACGTTGATGTGTTTTAATAGTTTTTGGATACAGTGGAGCTTCATGGCACAGAGGAAGAAGATATATCAGGCTCTGACACACACACACACACACACACACACACACACACACACACACAGTAACTGTGAGTATATACAGTCACTGCTGGTTTGAGTCCGAACATGAAGATGTGAAATATCACCAGGCTTATTCTTTAACTCTAAGTCTGAGTGTTTGACCTGTATCACAGTATTTCCTGATGATAAATAAAAGTGCTGACAGCAGTCACACTGGAAACAGCTTCTGTCTGCACAGTGACACATGTATGTCGAGGTAATGGGCTTTTATTTTGGCAGGTGTGAACAACAGGTGAGAATTCCCTGACATAAGTGCACGCATACGCACACACACACACACACACACACACACACACACACACAGCTGTCAGCATGTGTGAGGTTCATGTAATGGCTACAGAAACATTTCTCTGTTATATAATTTTTGCCCATAAAACTACACTACCCATAACCCCTTGTGTTTTCCAGTTGGATTTAGCCTTCATAACTGTCCTGTGTCCTTGTGTTTTGTTCATGTTTTTTTCTATTTCTAAACTGAAACTTGGAAGATTTTTGTTTGCTTCCCTCCAGGCATAAAAAGTTTTTTAGGTATGCCCTTTAAACATGTGCATGCACACAATGTGCAAACTGCTGTAAGGTGTCCAAATGGATGTAATTATGAGTTATAAGTTATAAATATCTGTCTATTTAGCTGCTAAATGCTCCACTAAGTTCACAGCTAGTCTCTAACTGTACCTGTCTGCTGTTTGCTGCTGAGCAGGAAGTGTTCAGTGGCTTTTTACAGCTTTGTCTCTGAAAGCAATGCTATGAGAGCGGCGAGTGAAGCCGGACAAATAAATAACAAGCTTTTGTCAAGTTGCAACAACATGGCTGCTTCACACACATCTTCCCCTGTTGAAGGAACATCTCTATGACTCGAGGTCGGCCTTGCGGCCTTAGTGGGTTTATTAAAGATACAACTTACAACCTCACATACCGGAACAATGAGACAGCCGCGCAGAACAGTTCACCAAACATTCTTATACTCCTCCTCAGATAGACATCATACCTAACTTTCCGTGTGTGTGTGTGTGTGTGTGTGTGTGTGATCTGTAAATTGTTTGCAACATTCTGCTCTTGTCACTCTGCCCCATTAAAGGTTGTTCAGTCTACGTAAACATGTTTTGCTCCTAACCTGACCTTAACTGTCAGACATTTCTGGACCTTTTCGCCACCGCACCACCCAGCAGCACAGAAGATCTATACAATCAGCAGTTTCAAGATGAGTGTCACCAGTTCAGTATCTGACAAATGTCTCCCCTTCTGTTTCTGAGATATGATGTTGAATAATGGCCAGGAAAGTGTTTTTGCAGAACATTATGATGTCCTAGTGAAGTTGACGTTTGACCTTTGAGCTTTTGGATCTGTCTGCTTCGACTGGTCAAGCACTCTCTGCGTCTCTGCACCGTATTTGCAGCCAGGGAATGACTGTCACAGAGAATGGCAGCACTTTTTCCGATGAAACATCACCAATAAAAGCTTCTAAACACAACCGGACATGTTCCAGCAGGAATACGATACAAAAGCAGGCAGAAATTCACAACATCTGCAACCAAGATCACACGTTTCTCTAGTGTTAGCATGTAGCTTCATGTAGCAGTGTAGGCTATGTAATGGAAACACTTGCAGCAGAGGGCTTGGAGCAAATGACCATATAAAGAAATCTGTTGAACTATGACGTCATCTTGTAGCCAGTGTTTACCGCATTATTTAAAACTTTGAGTCCACCTCTGCGGCCTGACTTTAGTAAACAGGTGTCACTGGGGGGCTGGAAATAAATCTAATGATATTAACATGTTAAAGTATTTAGTTCTAGTTCATAGTCCTTAACTATGTTTCTGTTCATGTATGTGATATGTCTGTAGGAGGGCACTAGCTCCTCTGCAGTGACTGACAGGCTGATCCCAGAACAGCCTGATCTGCTCAGCCTGTTATATCACCGGCTAAGTTTAGACATCTTTGTCACAGAGAGGAATCTGATGGAGAGAAAACGTCCCAGGGGGCAACAGACCAACACACTCTTCTAAAATGATTTTAGGTTTAAATAAGTTGCTTAAAGTTGCGTTCACATTCAGTGTTACTCACCGACACAATTACACAATAAATAAATCTATTTTAATTTATTTAGGGTATGTTATACTTCTACTCCAAGACATTTCAGAGGCAAAGCAGCAGCGAGTACTGGTGGAAAATCTTAGCTAGTGTCCAAGAAAAGTTTCTGGAGAGGAAAAAAAAAAAAAAAAAATCAGCATTCAGCGTACGTTATGACCATGCAGCAACAGTGATTATGTATTTACTTTCACTGCCAGAGGGAGGAGACAAACGTTCCGCACTCCCATTTTAGTTGAGTGATTGGGCAGGTGTGAACACAGCGCACCAAAACAACCGGACCGAGACCTTCTTGAAGAGGTGGTCCCTCCATTGTGACATTAGAAAGTGTCACATTTATCTTGCAAGTGTACTCTTCTTCAACGTTTGGTTTACTTCCTGCATTTTTCCCACATGGAAATTCTGACCAATCAAGAGCAGCTTTCTCACACAAGGCATTTGATCTGGTCCGCTTGTAAATGCTGTTGTGAGAACACGAACCAACTCTAGGCAATTATTCAACTTTGTAACAATATTAGTCCCTGATTCAGACCAAAGCAAGACAACTCTAGGTCTGAAAGCTCCCTCAGACACTTCTTCCATCACTGCTCATACTAGTGTTCAAACTCTCTACAGGGTCCCTTTAATAGGTCAAAGTGATCTGCAGGGGTTTGATGAACTTGTTAATGAAGTTTAAATATCATTCAACTAGTTGCAAAACTAATTTTATAACTTGTAATTTGACTTGCAGCAAAGAAAACTCTCCTCCAGGTGTAAGCAGCTATTTTAGTCTGTTTTGTTACTGAGGCACATTTGAAGAGGAGGAGGAAGAGGAAGAAAAAATGCATGAAAACTTCCTGCGTACAACTTGAGAATATATTCAGAATTCCACATGACAACATTATGTTTTCATAAAAGCTAAAAACACGGCTTAAACATAAAACACAGGTCAGATTCCTGCTCCTCAGAGGATGAACTCTGTACACCTCAGTGACCCCATGGTCTTTCCTCTAGCACTACACTCAGGGCAAACTTAACATCTTTACCTCCACTGCTGATAAGACTCTAAGAATATATAAATCATCTTTATGTTGTTCTTTCAGTGTAAAGCTTTGATGCTGTGGCTGTACTGAACACTCCAGCCTGTAGGGGGTGTTAGTGCAGCTTAAGACTCTGAGTATTGTTTTCAGTTCACGACATTTTGGAGATTCAAGTTTAGAAAACAAACTGAGTCAACTCGATGGCACGATGTGAGTCACTGCTCATAGAGAGCTCTGAGCCGAGGCAAAACCATCCACAGATACATGAGCCGGGTGTTCAAGCGTGCGCGTGTGTGTGTGTGTGTGTGTGTGTGTGTGTGTGTGTGTGTGTGTGTGATGAAAGGGGAGGGGGTGTGTGATAGAGGATCTCTCTCAGCATTAACGACACATAACTGACCTCAGAGCACTTGTGAATACTTTGTCATTTTAAACAGCTTCTTAATTGAGCCGTCTCAAGTCAAAGGTCAGTTCAGGTCAATACCAACACACACAAACAGGAGTGTGTGTGTGTGTGTTTGTGTGTGTGTGTTATATTCATCAGTGGTGGAGGAAATATGTCCCACATTGAAAATGTTACTTCAGTTAAAGTATGTGTTTCCTTGCAACCCTGTCTCCTTAAGATTACATGCGTACGTTACTAAACTGCTGCTCTTGTTGTGGCAACAAACTCTTTAACTCACTCTCCAGATGAGAAGGTTGACGACCACTGCGTTGCCTGTGTATGTGACGTGGTGTATAAAACTTGTGCTATCTCTCGTTGGCTGTAATGTGTTTATGGCTGCAGCCGCTGTGGAGTTTATATTGATTTACTCTGATGTTGATTCAATAAAAAGTGGCAGGTTATTTTATGCATGCAGATTAAGGCCCATCATGTCCTAACACTAACCTTCCCGTGTAATCAATCTACCATTTTTATTCTTTAATTTCACAGGAATCAGTATGTAGTTCCTAAAATGTTGAGGCAGAGGGTACTTGCTGTAGCTCTGGTTGAGGCTGAGAGGCTGTCAGTAAATAGTTTGTTGGGCACAGGGTAACATGAGACCCTAAAATAGAGGGTGGATCACGGGGAGTACCACCTGTTGGTCCAGGAGCTTCTCCTCCATTATGGCTGTTTCCAGGCATATTTTAGGATGACTCAGGGGCAGTTTGACAACCTGCTGTCTATAGCTCTGGGTATCCAGCTACCGCTACCACCAGTTTCTCCTCCATTGTTTACCAAGTGTAAACCTGTAGTCGTGACCACCACAGAAGGCCCTCCTATCAAATTGTCCATTTGGGAAAAAAAGATGACATGGGGCACTTTTCTGCTCTGAGTAGAAGTTTTTTCAACTCAAGGAGTTCAGAGCGCTCCGGCAAAAACACCAGGCACCTTGAATGCAGAAATGCGAGGTGCGTCGAAACGAAAAAAACACGAGCAAAAAGCTTCATTCTCATTAAAAACAATTACAAAAAGGCAACTCCAGCTGCTAAAACGCTTTCTGTGTGATCGAGGCCTAATATTGCTCTTTGCACCACAGACTTTTTATTTATCGTTAATCATTTTTGTCTCTTTTCAGGTTAACCAGGCTCAGTTGACTGATAATCATTTGTATGTACAGGCTGCTTAGTGCTGTCTAGAAATGTAATTTACTGTTGGTTTGGACACAAGGGATCATGTTGCTGATGTTGTTCCACCAGTGTGCATGTTGACATTTAATGCAATTTATTATGTAGCATAAAAATGTAACGCAGTAACGTGTACTCAGGGTACATTTTGATCGTCCTAATTTTGTTGTACTAATATAAAGTAAATTATTTTTACAGAAGTATTTCTATTTTTACTTGAGTATATCTTCTTTATAGTAACTATACTTTTATTTTATTACAGTATTCTAGTATTTTTCCACCCCTGCTTAAAAGCTAAAGAACACACCCAACTCAAGATACAGGATCATCCGAGCAGCACTTGAACGCAGCACGGGTACCATTTGATTCCTGAATGAAGACACTTGTGTTCACCTTGTATTTCAGGTGCTCCGCAGACAGACACCGCCCACCTGCTCCTTGCTGCTTCCCGCACTCTGTTCCGCCCAGCAGGGCCGCTCCGTGCTCTGAACCCAGCGAACACCCTGAAAGTCAAACACACCGAGTATGAGACACTTTAAACCCGCTGGGTTCATCTCAGGCCTGGACACTAACACACAGCTTCAGCGGGGGGAAGTTGGTGCTGAGACCCGGGTTGAGGGAGCTGTGAGCCGGGCACGAGCTGCCACTTGTTGCCGGCTGATGATGATGATGATGATGATGAAGGGATTAGAGAGCAGGGGCACGCGAGCACAAACAGGTGTGAAACTGTCTGAAAAGTAGATACCTGTTGCCGCTGTTTGTGTCCCTGCAGCTCCGTGAACTGTCACACACCGACCGGGACAGCCTGCGGTGATCCGGGGATCCGGCTCCGGTGCCCGGCCGGGGCAGAGAGCAGGAGGGAGGCCGAGGGGAGGAGGAGGAGGAAGGGGGGTGTTAACGGTGGATTTTCATTAGCAGGGTTTTCATTTAAAGAGGCAGGAGTCAGACACACTGCGGTGTAGACAGGTAAATAAACAAAATAAATACACTGTAAAATAAACTAATTATTCTTAACTTACAGTTATGAATTCGAGATGTTTAAGAATTATTAGTTAGCTAAATAAATACAAATTATTAAAAGCCAAATTTTTTAATTTGCATTTTTTTGTCCTTGGGGAAATTATTTTTATTTTATTTTTATTTTGTTTTTTTAAACGGACCCCATGGTTTTAAATATTGGCCAGACAGTTGTGATGCCACTTTATGGTATTTGTAAACAGAAAGAAAAAATAAAAATCACAAACCATGTACTGTTATGTTTGTAATATGTTAGTATAGCAACATATATTGGTTTGTTACCATGGGTTTAGTAATATTACTAGTACTAGTAATATTTCCATGTATTTGTTCTTGATATTTATCATTACAGTACTTTATAAAAAAATTGTGAAAAATCATAGATATATATTTTTTAAACGAAATGTATATAGAATAACATTAAACATATAAATTGTGAATATTTGTCCTTTTTTAGTTTCATAAGAAATTGTAAATTTATTATTTTGGCTTTAGACAGTAAAAAACTAAACTTAAAAAGAACACCAAAATTATTATTATTATTATTATTATTATTATTATTATTATTATTATTATTATTATTATTATTATTGGTAGCAGTTTTACTGTGGCCCTACCTTTACCATAAAAGGACAAATAAAGCATTTAGAAGAGCATGTTTTTAAAAAATTATATGACAGTATTTCTCTACCAAATGCTTGAGCAGTACATTTAAGAGATAAGCTTATTGGGATAAAAACAAACAAACAAAAAAACTCTTGAAGCATAGTGACAAAATAGAAACTTAACTAAAGTCAATTTCTGATTCAAAGAATTCAAATCAAATAATTTAAATTAAAAAATGTAAATGTATAAATATAATTTCTACTCACATTAATGCAATATAATTATAATATAATATATTATAATATAATATAATTTATCAGTATACAAACAGGAAAATATTGCACCGTTGTGACTGATGTTCTGTCATTACCTTAGCTGCAGTTTAAAGGTTTAACAGTTGTAGTCTGGGATTAGGCCATGTTGTCCTACAAATCCCATATCTGTGTCCTCAGAAGTTTAAAGTCGCAACTAAGATTGTACATGCTGTCGTTACCTTTCTGTAGTAGTTTTCATTTTCAGTGTCAGGCCCCGTCACTCCTGTGCTGCATTCAAGTCACCCTCACACACACACACACAGGGGGGATGAACTGGAAAGGATTGAGCATGTAATCAAGTGTTACAGTTTGTAATTTTATGTGACTGACATACATTATTCTCACCGATTAACATGTTCTCCTTCATGTTATTATTTTAATAGGTATAAAAAAAAACAAAAAAGTGTAAAAGTGACAATTTGCTGTGTTTTGTATATTAGTCTCTACACCAATCAGCCAAATCATTAAAACCACTAACAGGTGAAGAGAGTAACACTGATCATCTCATTACAATGCAATGTTCTGCTGGGAAACTGCTGGTTCCTGGCATTTACGTGGATGCCATGACATGCTCCACCCACCCAAACACAGTTGCAGACCAAGTGCACCCCCTCATGGCTATGGCACTCCCCAGAGGCAGGACAATCATGGGTGCAGATCCCGGGGGGGGGGGGTGATTGGGGACAAATTGTAATGGAATAAATGATTGAAATTGAACAAATGTATTTTCCGACTCCACATTCCCAATTCTAAAATAAATGAAAATTGAAACTAGAAGTAGCATTAACTAACAGCAAAGCAGTGAAAAGGAGAGTGATGGCTGGCTCCATGTACTATTGGCTGTTTAAGAGAAATAAACAGTGAAGGTAAGCATATGATTCTCTGTGTAGTGCTTTTTGCATGACTTGGTGATGGTGATGAACCTTTATGAAATCGTGAAATATGCTGGCAATCTCAAGCACTCTGTGGGCATGATTTGCATGCGTGCAATTAAAAAAAAATCACAACTGATTGTGTCCCCCCCCAAACTTGTCATCAGATCTGCACCCATAAGGACAATGCACCATGTCACACCACAAAACGGCTCAGGAATGGCCCGTGGAACATGACAGAGCTCAAGGCATCGACTCAGCCCGTCCAGACCAAAATATGGAGCGTGGACTGATAGCTCCACTTAGTGCATGTATAGGTCCAGTTTGTGCATCTTCGGACCTGTGTGTAATTGACAAACAGAGTGCAAAATTGAATTTCCCCTCGGGGATTAATAAAGTATATAAAATTGAAAAAAATTGAAAATTGAAATATATATACATATATATATATATATATATATGTGTGTGTGTGTGTGTGTGTGTGTGTGTGTGTACATATTCATTTATACAACAGTTAGTTCCGGCCCTGCAATCTGATTGGTCGAGAGACAGTAAAACCGTGACGATATTGGAGTACAACATCACGGTTATTTCACTGTGTATGTATCACTCCACCTCACAGCTGATTGCAATCAACAATCAAATCAAAACTGACGGTTAGCGTCAGTTAGGTCAGCAGTTGCGTTGCATCCCTGGAAAAGTATTTAAACAAACTTCCACCAGATGCAAATGCCTTTTATCTGAAGCCCAGGATGACAGCAGCTCACACAGACAATCTCTGGTACACTAAAGCTCTGCTGGGAATAAACTCACTCACACAGATGCTGCCGAAGTTGTGTAAAGAGGTGGGGACAACAGCTATCTACACCAATCACAGGGCTTTGAGTTTGAACGATGCTGCGCTTTAGCCAATCACAATGGAGGGTGCGTGGCCGAGATGTGTCCCCAGGAAATGTGTACCTACAGAAACAGCAAGCTCCGCGTCCATAGCAACCACCCAAAACACCGTCTCATCAACGTGAAAAAAAAAAATTCCAGCAGATGTCTGAGTTACAACATGATTGAGCTAACTGGAGTAGTTTCATGTTGTATCCAACAACGGGAGGCTTTTAACAGATGACGTCCTGATGTTAGCTTTGCTAACTGTCCCTGTCAGCTGCAGCCACTGATGCTTTCTAGACATTGTGATTTCCCATAACTGAATAAATACCACACATAGCAACACAAAACTGCTTTGCTAGCTCAATCATGTTGTAACTAAGATATCCAGAAGACATGCACACAGAAATATTAATGTTTGTTCAGTCATTGTGTTTATAGGCTTAACAAACATCAGATTAGTCTACATGGTGATATAGTGACGTGAAAAATGTGATATATAGCTAAACTCTGCTGGGTTTTTACCCGAAGTATTTGTAAACAACACGGCGTTTCCCTGGGGGCACCGCCGGAAGTGAAGGGCGTGATCGATCGCCGAGGCCCCTGCACTTCCGTTAGTCGAAAAACTCCGGGCTGTGCCTCCAGAGGTAAAGGAAGAAAAAAACTTTTTTTTTTTTTTTTTTACCGATGGATTTCCAGATTGCAGGGTGACTGAGGGAGATTCCCAGGGAGATCATGACAGGGTGGGCACAGGTATGATGTTGTTTTAACGTAGCCTATGTGTAAAGGTAGTCTTCTAATTAGGAGTCGGGCCCTAAAATATACCTTTTGTCTTGCACGTCTGAGAGCTTAAAGCTACTGGAAGCCATCCATGGAGAGCAGAAAACGATGGAGCAACATACTGTCAGATCAGAAGGCAGAGTCGGCTGTGCCTGTGAAGCGACAGTCCACCATGCAGTCACCAGAGACTTATTTCACCGGCTGCACAATTAATGGAAATGTGCAGATAAATGTGTATAAAGAGTAAGTGCCTGGCGCACCATGTCTGCGTTACATAGCAACGGTGGCAGCGGAGTCCTGAGGGAACTATTTTTGTTGGCGGAAGACAAATAAAATGCTTAAATTATCTATTTTGTCCTCATTTTTCAACATTTCTTAATCAGCCTTGCTTATTTAACTGTTGAACTGTTGTATAAAAGCAATATCACACTTGAGCTTGTGATGTTATACTCGTATATCGTCACGGCTTTGATTGTCTTTGACGATATAGGAGTATAACATCACTCCCTCCCGTGTGATATTGCTTAAATGTACTGTATGTAGCCTAAATTTAAAAATAAAATAATTCCTGTCTCTGATGTGATGGAGGCACAAATAGGTGCACAGTGAATACAGTGAATAATAGGTATTTATTTAGAAAAATAAATAATAGCAACACTGAAGTTTAACAGGAGCAACAAATACAATAAAATCATCTTTCTGTTTTCAAACATAAATCTGTCAGAACAGAAACATTAATACACAAGAACTAATATAACAAACACCTGCATTTATATTCAGTATCATTACTGTCAACACATTTACTGCATCGTACTGAACTGTCTGTATTAAACTGTACCATCTATATTATACTGTACCGTATGTATTATACTGTACTGTCTGTATTATACTGTGCTGTCTGCATTATACTGTGCTGTCTGTATTATACTGTGCTGTCTGTATTATACTGTGCTGTCTGCATTGAAATGCTCAGAGGAATGATCAGGAAACTAGTTACACTGATATAAAGGTGAAGGTTTGTGTTACTGCAGGCTTCAGAAAGAAGTATAAGTTTGAAGACCTGGGAATATGTGAATATAACAACCATTTAAAACTCCAATGCTGTGAAAGCAGCATCTAGTTTAGATTAGCAGTAGGGCTGACCCGAATTCTTCAACGCTTCAAAGCTTCAGTCGTGGCCATGGTAATCAGAGTCCAGATCAGTATTAGAATGCTTCGATTTTTGTCTTGTCTTTTTTTGCCACTAAAATGGTGGAGGAAACTGAAAAGTGTTGGCGACTGTCAAGACATAAATGAGGCCTGTATCCTCAGTGTAGTCATCGACCCTCGATAAAGCATTAAATGGGCGGTCTGACGAGGCAAAGGAAGTGAGACGAATTGTGGACAGTCATCCTTGTCTGCCGAATGTAGTGAAGCACTTGCTTTGTATCTATTGATGAGGCCCTACATGCAGCTTTCTGAGTTATTGAGAACATACAGAAACATTGCATGCAATAGTCCACCTTCCACCATCTCATTTCTCACACACACATGCAGCAGTGCTAAGTCCTAATAAAGTTAGCTCGGGTTTGGGGTTAATATGCATACACTTGCCAGCCACTTTTATTAGGTTCACCTTGCTAGTACCGGGTTGGACCCCTCTTGCCTTCAGAACTACCATAATTTTTCATGGCACAGATTCAACAAGGTGCTGTAAACATTCCTCAGAGATTTTGGTCCATATCAACATGACAGCATCACACAGTTGCTACAGATTTGTCAGCTGCACATCCATGGTGTGAATCTCCCTTTCCACCACATCCTAAAGGTGCTCTATTGGACTGAGATCTGGTAACTCTGGAGGCCATTGGAGTACAGTGAACTCATTGTCTTCATTGTCTGGTGTCAACCAGGCATTTTCACCCAGAGAACTGCCGATCACTGGATATTTTCTCTTTTTCGGACCATCTGTAAACCCTAGAGATGGTTGTGCTTCTGGCACCAACAACCATGCCACATTCAAAGTCACTTAAATCACCTTTCTTCCCCACTCCAATGCTCGGTTTGAACTTCAGCAGGTCGTTTTGATTGTGTCTACATGCCTAAAGGCATTGAGTCGCTGCCATGTGATCGGCTGATTAGCTATTTGCGTTCATAAGCAGCTGAACAGGTGTACCTAACAAAGTGGCCAGTGAGTGTATATGTGATTGAGTCCTGCCGCGTCTTGTCAAAGCTTTGAGAACTCGCAGGTAATTATCACTGAAGCTTCAAAGCCCCTAAAGTGGTATTCAGGTCAGCCCTATTTAGCAGCTAAATTATCGTAATTACGGTTATCTATCTGTTGGTACAATTTAGCAGCTTAAACAGTTTGTTTCAGTTCAGATAAAGGTCAGTTTACCAAGAAAACAGAGTGTTTACAGCACAGTTTAACTCCTAAAACATTTTGATTATGAGCTATTTATCTTAGTTTCATTTAGCGGCTCAGTTGAGCTGTTACAGCTTTTTACGTTTTTCTGCTAATCTGTTTTTGTTCAAGTTACTTTAACGTTTGTTGACTGGCTGAAAACTTGACAAAATGAGTCGTCATCTGTTTTTTTGAAATTGGGTAATGTACAAATAACTTTACACAGACCAACAGGTCAGATGGGCCTATCAAGAGCTGTGTTACAATCAACAATTATGGCCCTTTTCACCCCCCGCACTAACACCAACAACGTCACAATCACATTCCACTACACTGCCCTTCAGCAAAATACACACTTCAAATATGCAAACCAAGAAAAAAGAAGGAAAGAAACACAAACAGAAAGAAAAACACAAACATTTAAAATATCTCTTTACTTAATAAAAGTGCGCTTGCAGGCCTCAGGGCTTTCGGGATTCACTGAGATAAGGAGAAACATTTTAATTGATTCAGTTGGACATTTTGGAAAATCTGATAATTGGTAATAGGGCCGTCAGGGTGAAGGAATTTCCCCTGTGGTGATTTAGAGCAGCTCTAGAGCGAGACATGCAGTGTTACCGCCATTTTTTGTTGTTTTTTGCAAATTATTTGACTAAGCTGAACGGTTCAGCTACAATTAGGTATACTGTTGCTTTTCTAAATGACAAAGATGACAGTTGTAAAACAAGTTAACTTCTTATTCAGTGTTAAATGCAGAAAACAGAGGGGAAATTAGGCACATAATGGGTGCGGTGTTTTTCATTTGAGACAGGTTGCATCTGGTTACTACAATACAGAATATCTGTAGAAGAAAAAATGTAGACAATATAGTACTGTTCTGGATTAAGGGAAGGTTGAAGCACATAGGGAGTCAGGATGGACCTGTGTGGGTTCAGTGTTAATTTCTCCTCCTTTGGTGTTGCTGTTCAGGGGTGTGACAGTTACAGCGTGTCCCAAATCACATACATCCGTACTACTAACTTCATGAAACTACTGGCGCGCTAAAAATGGTCCAAAAGTTGAGTGTGGAATGATGGACACTTTGCACCCTCAACAATCATCATCTTTGTGACGTCGCAAACTTATCAACTTTTAACATGGTGGCTCGGGACAACAAGGAGCCTGTTCGTTATACATATTTTTGCATTAAGTACCAATACTATTGCTGAATAAAACCTGTCAGTAATATTTGTTGGGTCTGTAATGATTTGGTAGCTGGCTAGTGAATGGGTTAGGGTTAGTATTGCTATATAACATTAGCATTCGCTAGCAAGCTAACTTATAGCATAACATTAGCTAACATTATGCTCACTAGCTAGCGACCTTTCTCCTAGCTACAGTGACATATTTTAATCCGCACTGATATTGTGGTGTGAATTTATGTGTGGGCGGACATAGCACTCAAATGTTGGTGTTAGGTAGCAAGCTAACATTATCTAATATAAGCATGAGCTAACTTATAGCATAACGTTAGCTAGCACGTTACATTAGCTGGCACGTAACGTTAGCTAGCAAGCTGATGTTAGCTAACGTTATCATTCGATAGCTAGCTAACTGTGGTCACAATGGCTAGAATGGACACTTAGTGCTTCTGTGTGTCCAGCACAGAGGAAGGTCCAGGATGTGTTTAGCCTAGCTTAGCATAGAGACTGGGAACAGGGGGAAACTGCTAGCATAGCTCCATCAAAAAAAGTAAAAATAAATTTCCAATGGTGGTAAAAGGATTTCCCAAAATATCACACAGTTACTTTATTAAAAATTATAATTTTAATGAGATGTTTTTCCTTTTCCAAACTCATTCTGTCTGACACTAGGATTTAGGGATGTTTATCAAAGTTTTTTGTTTGCTGGTTGTTTCTGGTTTTGACCCGATTGTTGTCCTTTAACCAACAAACATTGCAGGGTAGAATTTATACCAAACTCCAGTTACAGTCTTTTGTGCTGCAACAAAAGAATGAACTGTTTGAGCTCCAAGCCAGAACAATCTCTGTTCAGGTGAGGGGTTGAGCAAACGGGCATTTGAAGGCCTTTGGTTTTCAAATTAAAAGTTTTGATTTTGGGTTTTATACATTATCTCAGTTTTTAAATTTACTAAGAGAAAAACTTTCAACCTGTCACGTGACTCTGCAGAGGACTGAGCTGGAAACACACAGATAACTAAATCAAGAAGCAATAGACAACAAGAACACAAACAGGAAACCACAGTATGTTTTTTGTAGAAAAATCGCATAGTGCGCCACAAAAAATTGTCCATCATTTCAACAACAGTCATCTCACATTAATAACGTCTCCTGAAACATGAGAATACTTTAAGTAAAGGGCTCACCTGAAGAGGAAAATACAACCATCATGTGTGTTTGTATCCATCTGAATCGCGGAAAAATAATCAGGTGCAGGAACGTGATTTTCTTTGGGTTAAAGTAAAAAGGTTTGGCTTCTTACGGAGGAATTACACAGCCACACAGGTGTTTCCACTTCACTCATCTGATTGGGCCTCTTTATCAGGACAGCGTGGGTTCTCCTATTAGCACAGACACTTTGTACTCTCTACACACAGAGACCTAATCAGACAGATTAAGTACACCTGTGTCACAGTGCAGGGCCTTTAATATAAAGGTTAGATAAAGTATTTTAGGGTTATTTTATTTGTCTAAGCAGTGATTTACAGCATTTTTAAAGAGCAACTTAACACTTAATTTACTTTTCTGAGTTAGCATAATATAAGATCTGGTGCTAGTCTATGGTATCCATGGCAACAGCTGACATTTATATAGTAATTCTGTCTTCTAGATCAGTGGTTTCCAACTTTTGAAGTGCTGTTTCCTGCTATAGAGTGAGTGACTACTTGACAGAGACAGAAAACTAGCTCAACAACATGGCCAGATGCAAGCATGACTCTGAATATATTAAACTGTGTGGACCTTGAAGTGATGACTAGGAAAAATCTGGTCCCCTGTTGTAAACCTGCCTATGTAGATGCGTCTTACTATCTGAATAATGCCCCCTTTAAATAGCAGAAAAATACTGCGCCATTCTGACTTTAGACTAGGGTTTTGTTGGTCAACGGCGCAATCACTTTCTGCTGCCTCAAAACAGCAATACGCCAACGATGTGCATGACCACACCTCATTTTAAGACGGCCATGGGCGCGCAGATGGGCACAAGTGCATTTGCAACTGATGAAACGTGGGTGCTTGGTGGCACGGTGGTGAAGTAGTTAGCATTGTCAACTCACAGCAAGAAGGTTCCCTCACCATGGATTCGAACCCCAGAGTGGGAGAGCCCATCTGTGCCTGTATGCTCTCCCCATGTTAGCGTAGGTTTCCTCCGGGTACTCCGGCTTCCTCCCACAGTCCAAAGACATGCAGGTCAATTGGTGACTGTGTCCGCTATGTGTCAGCCCTGTGATAGTCTGGTGACCTGTCCAGGGTGTACCCTGCCTTTCACCCAGTGTCAGCTGGGATAGGCTCTAGTCTGAATTTTGTGTTTTCCTTTACATAACCATAAATTTGTACATAAAAATTCACCTGAATGCAGGGAATGAAGTGTCTGATGCTCAAAACTTCCAAAGCCTTGATCCTGACCACTGGCTGCTTTAGCTTTGTATATTTTTCACTAATGCAGAGCTGTTTTGGAGGGACTCTGGTGCGATGATCTGTCAGAGCCGTGGGGGTTTGCACTGAACTGGATTGCATTTTTCTTTTATGTAAAGTGTATGTTCAAGCTTCAACAAGGTGTTAAGTTGCTCTTTAAGTGATGACGCATGTTGTCATTTCATTGGTAACAAAAACAAAAAGCTCCAGGTTTGGTTTGGAAACAATCCTCCATCTAAAATCTTTGTTCTGGTAAAAACTTAAACTTCTCTAGAACTACGAATATTTAATAAATAGCCTACTTCTTCTAATAACTTTGTGTCTGAGCTTCAGGTGAACCCGTCTACATTTCTAAACCTCTGACTGGACGTGAGCTGGTCATGTGACTGCAGGTGATCGTCTTCTAGGAGGGCGGCGTTCTACCCAGACCCCGACCCCGTGCTGTTGTTATTGACTGTCTTGGGGCGCGCAGTGCAGGAACCTTTTCGTCCAATGGGAAGGAAGGGGCTGGACTCAGAGGTGATGACGATGCTCGGGATTCGACCAATCGCGCCTCTCATCACATGGCCCTCTGCGAAATCCGTCTGTGAGACAGAAACATGCAGTTACTGTCTCATCTTTGTGCTCACACAGCCCAATGCATACATGAATAAATCAGATGGACTCACATTTGGGATGCTGCCACGTTCACTGGCTCCTGCCACGGACACATCAGTGTCAAAGGACGTCTGGAAGAAAAACAGACAACTGGATGTAAGCTCATGATTGTTACACCATCCAGCTGTGATGGAGGTCTTCCACACCTCCTGTCACACTAAACTCCTAAATTAGATTTAATCACATGTATCAGCTGCAGTGAGGCGGCACTGATCATCAAACCCATCTCTAATCAATCACCCAAAATATTCATATCCCTTAAAAAAACAAACAAACAAAACCCGCAAGTGACAGATTTCAGTCAGTGATTAAGATCAAAAGGAAAAGACGATTTTCTGGTCCGAGATAAAAAGTGCATCGAGCAGATGAAAGAGCCCAAAAAAACCCACACAGAGCAGCAGATTAACACAAACACTGGTGTTATGAAAGATGTTTTCAGAGCTGCTCTCACTAGAGACAATCTCAGCTGACCCCTAAAATGACCCAAAATACCTGTGACCCCCTCAGGTGACCCCCGCATGTCCTTCTCCTCCCGACTGAATGTAACGTTAATAATCTACATGGTAAGTCAAAGTGGTGATCTGCTGTTTAATCCATCTGCAGTTGGTTTCATGCTGCCTGAAGGTCGACCAGGACAAACTATAATTTAAAGGCTCAATGTGAAGAGATGTTCAGAAGTTAAAAATATTCTCTCTGCCCTTATCAATCATTAGTACAAATGACGAACACCTCTGTTTTTTTTCCGATAAAACATCAACAGGAAGCCTGTGGACATCTAAATTGAAGGAGAGAGGTTAACTACAACTCCCATGGTGCATTCCCCTGATAAATATTAGGGCCGTCAGCGTTATTGCTTTAATCACAATGTGATTAAGGTCCGATCATAACACGTTATATATTTTTAAATCTCATTTTTGTCGCTGCGATGCACCCTAGTGTGCTTGCTGCTGCAGTGATGGAAAATAAAACACCACTGCGCTTTTTAATACCTCATTTCACTTTTAAAAACTCCCAGATGATTCAGCTGACAAAGTCAAAAGTAATCTGTACAAAACAATTAGTGTCTCTCAGAGACGCCACTACTGTTGGTCAATGAAGAAGTAAGTCTGTATTGTTTAAGCAAGCCGGTGTCAGTAGAGTTTCTCCAGGAGTTGCAGTTTTATGTCCAATGCCGCAAACCCAGCTGACTCATTGTCTGACTGAGTGATCAGCGGTACCGCAAGTACGAGGTTTAAATATTGCAAATAATTTCCTGTCACACTATTTTGTATTTTGATTTCCTGATTTGTTTTTTCCTGATTTTGTTTATTTAATTTTACGGTGCTTTCACACCTGCCCCGTTTGGTTCAGTTCAATCAAACTCAAGTTCATTTGCCCCCTACGTGTGGTTCCTTTGGGCAGGTGTGAACACAGCAATCGCACTCAGGTGCGCACCAAAACAACCGGACCAAGACCTTCTAGAAGAGGTGGTCTCGGTTCAGTTACAAACAAACTCTGGTGCAGTTCAAATCAAAAGGAATCAAAGATGTATTTACCTTCTCGAAGATGCCAGAGTCGTGGCTCTTCATCTTGGACTTGAAGCTGGAGGAGGGTTTGAAGTCGGGGAGCTCGGCGGTGTCTCTGCTGATGTCACAGGAGACCTGGCGGCTGGCTGGTCTGGAGCCCATACTGGACAGGTCAGCCTCTGTGTCCGTCAGACCCTGCAGGGGAAAACACCACACACGTTCTTATCTCCCGCTCTGTGTTTAACATCTCTATAAATATGATGTCACAGTTCCCGTGGATCTAAGCTCACCGATTCACTGTCAGAGGCGGAGGAGAGGCGTGACTTGCCGTAGCTCTGCCGCCTCAGCTGGCTGCTGATGTCAGAGGTCTGGCTGGTCACAGTGGAGCGGCGCGTTGACATGAAGCTGCTGCTGGTCGAGCGGAGGTCACGAGGATGAACGCAGAGCAGCACGCCGAGACACGGGATGTACTTGGCTAACGCTATCCTGTACAGAGACAGAGAGGCAAAGAGTCTGAGTCCAGCTGCCTTCATCACTGGCCCAACAGTTCTCTCAGGATACATGAAGTTAACTGGTGACTCTAAATTGTCCAAAGGTGTGAATGTGAGTGTGAATGGTTGTCTGTCTCTATGTGTCAGCTCTGTGATAGTCTGGTGACCTGTCCAGGGTGTACCCTGCCTCTCGCTAAGTGTCAGCTGGGATAGGCTCTTGCCTCTCCGCGACGCCCAAGAGGATAAGCGGTTACGCAAAATGAAGTAATGAATTATGAATAAAGCGTTCCAAACAACCTCAAACTTTAACTTCTTATTTATTTATTTTTAATCTTCTTCTATTAACCCTATGGGCCCGAACGACGCATAGTGCGTCCAAATTCACACCTGTTCTTCTCTATTGATTTTCTCCGCGACCGTGCATCATAGCGAGAAGCCACGCATATCACGTGAAACAGCGAAATTGTAGCTTTCCGACAAAGCACTTCTCGGTAGTCCAATGTTTTCATAGCGAAAAAAATTGATAAAGTTACACTAAAATCATGAATAACAGAGCTTTCATACAGCTCTGCACACACATTATGTGTATGCCAGATTCCAGAGAGTCTCCCCTCTTCATATATGGCAGAATATGTCTTCTTCCAACTTGCTATGGTGAGATACATGTAAAAATGTAAGAATTTAGTTACAGGGATTTGTTTTTTTTCATTGATATAAAAATTAATATAAAATACAGGCACATAGAAGGACATGAAATGATGGCAAATCTGGTTAGCTCAGATTGTCCTGAAAAAAACAAGATATAGCATGTGTATGTAGCCTTTATAATGACTGTGGTATGAGCTTAGAAGTAAAGGCAGTAAAAATACCCCAAAAACGCCTCGGGCCCATAGGGTTAATATTATTATTAATTCTCTACTTTCCCTCCATCACAATGTTACATGACACTGACTGACATGTACAGTTATGTAAGCTGTTTTTCTTTTATCCTGCAGCTTTAAAATATCGTGTGTGTGTGTGTGTGTGTGTGTGTGTGTGTGTGTGTGTGAGATTAATTCTCTCCAGTTCACTTAACATTCAGGTTAATTGAGCAGCAGTTAGTTCAGCTGAGGTGTCAGAGCGCTCACAGCCGGCGGAGCTTTCTCTGATTGAATCAATTCACTTGGCTGCAGTCACATTAGCTGATGTCAAATTAAACAGAAGTCATCAGTCATCGGTTAAAGAAGCTGGAAGCTGAGCATCAGATTGTGAGCAGATTTCAATAGGACTGCACAGTAATAACTGTAACAAGCTGGACTTAACATGCAACGTGTTGCTTTAGCAAAACTCTTTTTCAAACTTCACAGTAGAAACAGGAGGTTAGTTGGCGGTGAGCACTGTTCCTGAACATACTGACAGATCACAGTTTAAACCTGTTCAATCTAACCACTGAGTCGACTGCAGAGGGCCCAGAAAAAACACAAACTCATTATTTAGAGCCAGTTTACGCTGTTGTGGTTCAGTAATGATGAGTAATGAGGGTCACTTACACTTCTGTGGACTGGAAAATAAATTCATAATCAGAAAGTGCACACAGTATTCTCCTGTCATGCAACACTGGGTATGTTTACATGCACATTAATATTCCACTATTATTCTGAATTTGGTACGGGTCATGTAAACAGTCCTGTTTGGATATTCAAAGTTAGGCCTTTTTCCAGATAAAGCATTTTTGGATTAAGACGTAGGATACGCTGTGTTATTCAGGGTTCTAAGAGTATTCTTTAGACATCTATACAGCGCATTCAGCACATGCGATTTAACTGGGGTGTTTAATGCAGTTTACGACACTTGGCCTCTTGCCTGTTTACGGTTGGCTCTGTGCGTTGTCAACCAACACATTGTCACTCCGACCTCGACACATATCGACGTTTGGTCATGGACTTTGCACATCCGTGTACAACATTGTCACTTTTGGGAATAAATGAAAATGTGAATCATTTATTTCTTCTTGTTTTGGGGCCCACACTATTTCAAATATAAATAATTTATTTAGTGTTTTTATCTGTTTTAATTATTTAAAGAAAGAAGAAACACATCACTACAACGGCTGATTCTAAACTTTTAAACAGTCCTGGTGAGTGTGTTACCTGTATTTTGGGTGTGTGATGGCATAGATGATGGGGTTGTGGATGGCCGAGGCCTTGGCGATGACGGCGGGCACAGAATTCATGTAGGGAGTCAACATGTCTGCATACCTGCGCAGAACACAACAAAAATACACAGTGAGGAATCACAGACTGTGTTTACAAGGTCTTTAGTATCCCGGTTTTGAGGCTTATCCCGGCTTTGAGCATATCCGGGATATGATGTTTACATGGAACACAGAGAAACCCGGTTATTCATATCCCTGTATACATGATAAATACCAGTAACCCGTTTTCTGATCACTGCATCCTATCTGCGCAGGCGTGTGTTTCGTCTTTTACGTCTTTTGTTTACAACAGATTGAGCGGGAAATGTGATATATTTATTATATTTAGAAGTAAGACAAAAATGAGACCTCTGTGGCTTCTAGTGGGCTTAGCGTTAGTAAATACTCACGTCGCATTACAGCTATGGCTCATCCACTTCATCTTCAGCAATGGGAGGAGAGAGCAACAACAAATATTGAATACGTCACCAACTTTGATAGGTATTTGGCTGTCACTGCCACCATGCAGTACAAGGCAACAGTGGATGAAAATACGTAGCCGTGACTGGTGGGATAGGATCGTTCTCATGGAGTTTACAGATTCAGAGTGGAGAGAAAACTTCAGAATGAGTAGGGCATCCTTCAGCCGGCTGTGTGACGTAGTTGAACCATTCATGAAACCGGGATAAGGCGTATACATGCTCCAGTATCCCGGCTTCTATCGGAGTACTCCAGGTGGCAAAACCAGGTTTCTTGAAACCGGGAAAAGGGCATAACCCGGTTTCTGAATTCGGGATATGGTGTTTACATGCACAAACACAAAAACGGGATACTTAAAAAACCCAATCAAAACCGGGATACTAAAGACCTTGTAAACACAGTCACAGAGAACTTTGTACACTCAGCGCCTTGCTCATAGACTCGGACCACACACATTCTGAGTGGTCAGTTGAAGCTAATGTGTAGCACAGTGTTTTTATTTGAAATACAATTTCCTGCTGCTGAGTGAGTGCTCAGTGTCTGCTGGTGTTTGTTTTACCCGGCGAATGCGGTGAGAGCGACGGTGGAGTACGGCGACCAGGAGACGACGTAGAGCAGGATGACGATCAGAGCGATCTTCGCCATCTTCCACTCGTTCTGCAGCCGGTGGAAGTTCTTCACAGAGTCTCGAGTGCTGCTGTGACTGTGAACGCTGCCGTTAACCTTCCCCACCGCCCTGAAACACACACACAAACCTGGAGTACTGTACCTGTGAGGACACCTGTGTTCAGTTACTGTAGACTAACCCTAAATTAAGGCTCTGATTCAGAAGTAGAAATTATTTGTTTAAACGACTTTGATGTTTTCACCCACATTTTGAGTTCCCACACAGCTAAAAGCTTTTGGTATCGTGCTGCACATCAACACCCATCACTGTATTTCAGTCAGGAACACATAATAAATACAGTTATGATTAGCAATGATGACTCTGCTCTTAAGATGCTCCCTGACAATATTAAATGCTTTGCATTTCTGTTCTGTGTTGTTATCGACCTTTGACTCGAGGAAAGTGTGATTTTTTAATGACATTTTATTGACAAAAAGATTAATTGAGATTGGAAAATGTATCAATATTAGAAATAATTGTTAGTTGCAGCCCTAAAAGATACTGAATGTTGATTTATACTTCTGAGTCGAACCGACATTATACCTACGGCATAGCTTGGCCTGCACCTCCCCAGAAATATAACGACACATCGCGGTGACGCAGACCTCCTGTCTATTTTTGTAAGCTGAAACCATTTCCCTCAGTGGAAACGAAGCTTTTGTTTACTTTAATTTCACAGATAAGAAACAATAAATTATAAAGACAATAAAGCCTCCACAAAAATAGCATTTTAAGTCTTGTGTGTGATTTATCCTGGCTTCATATGAGTAGAAGAAAAGATCGCTAGCCACTAGACTAATTTATACAATGTAAAATTCCATAGGCTTGTGCTAATAATGTTAGCATGTTGTATTTGTGGGGAAAATGTGTCCAGATAAAGACAAGTGTTTGTATTTGTTTGAAATTGTCTCTATTACGCCATGTTGAATGTGTGTTTAATGTGTGTTTTGAATCAACTAAACTTTACAGCACTTCACAGAAACCTCCTCCACTGACTAGTGTTTTGAAGGTGTCACTGCAGAGTGACACAGACACACCACCACACAAGTATAAATGCTTACGGCGTAGACCATGTGCGTAGGCTTTGCGTAGAGCTGACACACCAGCATAAATCCACCTCAAGACTTTTTTTTAACAGCTTTAATTTGTGCAATAAAATGTTGAAAATATTTTGGGGTTAAAACTCACAGTCAGATAAAAGATCATTATCACAGAAAAGAAAAAAAAACAGTTTATTAGCTGTGTATTGCTGAAGCAAGGAATTGTTTTATCTTAATGGTGGAGGCCAGAGGTCAAAACAGCTGGGAACCATAAATATCACAGGACTCTTGCTGCAATGTTCTCGTACTCAAGACCAGTCTCAAGACCACTTTTTGAAGGTCTCGGTCTCGTCTCAGACTCCACTGTGTTTTTACTCAGCTTTGTCTCAGTCTCAGAAAAACAGGACTTGGGATTTTATCTCACAACTAGTCAAGGAAACAGTTGCAGGGATACTTGGTCTTGGTTTAGGCTGAAAATTGTTTGTTTGCTCTGCAGTTTGGGGTTAAAAATCTTCCTTTAATAGCCTAATCGGTTTTTCAACAGCGATGGTGGAACACAGATTACATAAAACTTATTATGTTCTTTTATATTCCAAAAACAGAGAAACACAGGTAGAATCAGATGAAAAATCGGTCACACAAAAAACTGAAATTCAATTTTAAAATTCTGATTTGCAGCCTAAATATTCATAAACATTTTTACTAAAAACTGAGATGTGTGGAAACAAAGCAACTCATTTTCTATATCCAGCATTAACCAACAAAAAGGGAACTAAAACACTCCAACACCAAACACACACACAGACTCACTGGTTGGTGTTGCGGATGGCGCGGAAGATGAAGACGTAGCAGTAGATGATGATGAAGAGCGGCAGGAAGAAGACAAAGATGAAGAGCAGCATGGTGTACGCTCGCACCGACGGGGTGAAGGTCATGTAGTCCCACGTACAGGATGTCAGCAGGCCCTCGGGGACATAGGCACCTGATGGACGAGAGACAAGGACACAGACAGAGAGAGTTTTAATGTCTCAATGTGCTTTCAATGAAGTTCAAGCTGGCATCCTCATACAAAAGTAATCCCTCTCAATCATCACTTATGACCCACTCTCAGTGTTGTTTTGTTCTGCATCTATGACGTGCACATCATGTGTTTCTTTTTGATGTGAATATTAACCTGTTGTCTAAAAGATTTAATAACATGTGGTCTGTTGTATAATACTATAACTGAACCACACTGCCCTACTTTACTCTCTACTGCTGCTAAAATCAGCTCAGAGTTCATTAACGTGTCCCCCTAAAACAACAGCTGGCCCCAGTCTAGCCCCAGTCTGGCCCCAGTCTGGCCCCAGTCTGGCCCCACTGAAACATCACTGCTTCCAGGGGAGTCTCTGTTTACACAGGATAAAACAGTGTCCATGGGGAACCTGCTAAATGATACTGTATATTAACAAAGCACCAGACTCCATTCAGACTCCATTCAGATTAAAGCCTGTTCATGTTTGAATCAGCTTCCACACTGAGGTCAGAAGCAGAAAAATGTTTTCTTTCATTTCATCTCTCCACATGAGAACACGCTGTCCGCATAAGTATAATAAAACACAGACGCATACATCACACACGGCTAAAAACACCCTGTACATTTCTGACACACTCAAACATTTTCCACCTGGAAAGTTTTTCCACGAGATGAAGATTTATGGGAGCTCTTCTGTTTCCATATATTTTAATTTACATAAAAGTAAAGTGAGATAGAGTCTGCGGAGGAGAATCAAAACCAGGTGAGAGGAATAAGAAAAACACCACATGAAGGGAGTGTACGTGTGTGTGTGTGAACTTGAACTGAACTGATAATAAATGGGATTTGGGGAGTAAATGAACAATAAGTTTGATAAGATAGAAAGAGCTTTGAGGCAGAACAAAAGATTTATGTGCAGCAGATGGAAACAGGAGATTAATCCCTCACAACAGCGGAGGATGGTAGAGACAAGTAGAGGAAAACACAGAGGAGAGGAAAGGAGAATATACTTGTAAGTATAGGTTCATGTGTGCAGGATGCTTGCCTAGCATGTCCTGTGTTGGTTTGGGAGGGTGATTTTGCATGTCCTCAGAAATATATGCAAAGCATCTGCAAGTTCCTATACACAGGGGCAGTGTGAGAATCAATATAGTCATGAAGTGCTTGATTTAGGGGCCTCTTATATTCAAACCCACATAAAAAATACTACCTGGACTCTTCCTCTGCTGGTCTCCTGACCATCCCCACCTCATCCCCACCTTTGAAAGGTGCCTCTACACTGGTGCTGCTGTCGTCTTTTCTGCTGCAATCTCAGAATAAAATAACAACGTAACCTCCTGCAGTGTCGTTGTCGGTCACCGGTGTTGGTATGTTTGTTGTTTACATCATGCAACTCCAGGTCTATACAGTCTGAGAACTCTGGTAACATGTGTGGTACAAAGTATGTTAACAATTTTGTTCATGACGCAGCTGGTTGTTTGATGCAAACTTGTGGTTTGAGGTAATCAGAGGTAAGGAAAGTAAAGGAGAGTAAAAGTAGAGGTGAGTAAAACTCTCCTTGTGTCAGTAGGACGGGTTGATATGGACAAAAATTCATATCTTGGTATTTTCAGGATGACTGGAGATACGCAATATATTTCTCAGTATTTTCTACGAAATGGGCGACATGTTCAGTTGCAAGTCAAAGCCACATTTGAGATGCCACAAGCACTTTTATAAAAACAGACAGATCAAAATAAAATGCAAAGACAGGTATTTTTTCCCCTGTTTGAAAATATACAGCTGCACAACATGTACATGAAAATGATATAAAATAAATAGCTGTACTGCACGTTAACTTTTTACACACAGCACTGGAGCTACAGAGGTTTAAAGGTTTGCAGCACAAAACATGACTATAAAAAGATCAAGTAGGTCTAAATCCACTGTAGTTTGAAGAGAGTCAAAAAGTCATTTTCCATCTGTTGGCCTTGTAAATCAATCTAGAGCTAGAAAATGATTTAAATCTTTTTATTTCTTTAGGCTGTTAATCTTATTTATGCACAGAGCATCAACAGAGAGGCCGAGAGAGAGAGGGAGCAAGAAACACTTTGTCCATGTTATATATGTCCTGTATATGAAACGTCTGTGTTGTTGCTGCATTTTTGTTTAAAACAGATCTGTTGCCTGCATCCAGGCGCCGTCTCCATGTCATACAATAGACTACATCTACCAAGATGATGCGATATGATCCACCTGCCGTGTGCTACTGCGGTTATTTCATTCATTTCACAGACTGATTTAGCATAGTGCTGCAACATATAGACCGATGTCACACTATAGACTAATTAACAGACAGATTAAACAGAGGAGCAGCTCTGTGTCTCTCTGAGTGTTGATGGAGAACTTGTGAAGGATGGAGCTGTGTGGAGAGTGTGAGAGAGGACACTGGTGTGGCTTTTCAAAAGAAAAGAGTTACGTAATGCAACTTGACCCGATATCGATATACACAGAATTGTTTAAATGTATATCTTGCTTGAAATTATATTGATATATTGCACATACTCGCTATATCGCCCAGCCCTAACTGTCAGACAAATATAACCATAACAAAAACACATGACACTTGTGTGTGTGTGCTCACTCCAGCCGAAGAATGGCGGCAGGCTCCATCCCAGAGAGTAGGCCCAGGCTGCCATGAGGATGAGGAGGGCCCTCTTCCGTGACAACACGCCGATGGAGGTCAGGGGCCGCGTGATGACAAAGTAGCGGTCGACGGCGATCACCGTCAGCGTGATCATGGAGCAGATTCCGAAGAGAGCGCCGCAGAAGGCGTACAGCTCGCAGCCTAAAGACACACATGTGAAAATTATCGTTATTTTGATTTAATAATGTTTACCAACCTTGAGACCAAGTTCAGAGACTTTGTTTCCTGCATTCAGGTGACTTTCAAAGAATGAAAATAACAAAATATTTGACAGAATTGCAACAGCATTTTTATGTTAAAGGTCCAGTGTGTAGGATTTAGGGAATATAACTTAACAAGTGTGTTTCCTTTAATGTGTAATCACCTTAAATTGATAGCTGGGTACTCCACCGTGACAGATGAGGACATGCTTAGTCCCCCAAACCCATTAGGCATCCTTTAAACCCCTGCTAGAATGATACCGTCACAATCCCCAAACTGCAAAAATACATGGGGCATGGATGCGCTTTTCACATAGGTGGAGGTTTGTGTGTTATTTAGCTGCTTCACAGGCTGTGACTCTACAGCAGGAGGTTTCCGCCAGCTTCACTGTGTGTGTATTGAGTTTTGCCAAATGATACTGCAGTTGGTTAGGCAGGGTTTGGAAGAATAGTCGATACTTACTGGAACTGAGGTAATTAACTGGATCGTTTAAATGACAGCATGCATTGAGTTGATCGATTGATCTTAATGTGAAATGTGAAAACACACACAAGGTTTCTCTGCTGCTTCTGGTACAAATTCTGGCAGGCAAATGTTGCTTCCATGGTCAGAGTAGCAGCTTCAGTTGATTACAATAAATGTGCTCTGTTGCAGGCATGCTGCTGTCCACCAGCAGCTGTGCACCCGACTCATGCGGGCCTGATGGGCGCTCTTCTCCAGCCCCGCAGGGTCAGAGAGTGAGGTGGGAGCGCCAACAGGGAGGAAACCTTCCTTCAGAGTGGTACAGCTTATACATGCTGTACAGTGCCAGAAACAGGTTGTGATAACATCGAAAATTTGTAATATATCAGGATAATATGATTCAGCTGTGTGTAAAATGTGTTTCTGATAACGTGGAGTGAGAAATGTGCAGAAGAAAACTCTGCAGGAAGTTCAACATGACGGCTTAATGAGAGCACTAAGTGCAGGAGATCACGCTGCCAACAACACCTCTGTTCCTCACACCACTAAAACAACACACGGGAACAGTCGCATGTGATTAATACCAGATGGATTGACCCTTTAAACACAAACACACAAGTTAGGAAATGATTTAATATGAAATTTAAAACTTTGAAGTGCCAATGTATGACTTTGAATTAAATTAATAAAAAGCAGTAAGTCAACACTTCCTTCTCCTCTCAGTCAAATTAAAATGACCTCGGAGCACCTCTCTCTGGGGAGACGGAGGAGGATCGAGTGTTTTCTCTGAGCTTAAATTCACTGATTCACACTTTCATGGTGGGAAATGAAAAACTGATGTGAGAGGAGGGGAGTGAAGAGAGAGGAGATAAGGACCAGATCGTAACACATCTTCACCTCTTGCAGTAAAAATAAAAATACACCAAAGATAAGTGTGATCAACTGCAGCTGCTTCAAATTTCAGGCTCTACTGCAACATCCTGTGTGTGTGTGTGTGTGTGTGTGTGTGTGTGTGTGTGTGTGTGCAGTCGGGTACCTTTCTCTCCAAAGATCCACCTCTTGTGCATGCTGGTGGTGAAGAAGATGGGCGCCTGGGTGACGCACATCAGGAGGTCTGTGATCGCCAAGTTAATGATGAACATGTTGGCTGGTGTCCGCAGGCTGCGACTCCTGCAACACACACACACACACACACACACACACACACACAGAGTTAGTGTAGTCCATTAATTAATTAGTTGATTCACAGATAATTAATGTGAAACTATTTAGATGGTTGAAGTAATTTTTCATGTAAAAACATTTCATGGTTTCAGCGGTAGTTGAAAATCTCTTTTCAGAAAGACACTGGCTGCAATAAAGTTTTTCAATATGGTGCAAGTGTGAGTAAACAGTAAAGGGATGATGTTAAATCGCATATTATTCTTTCTGTTTTTTAATCTATTTTGTGTAAATTTATTTTGCTTTTTGGATGAACTGAAAATTATCTTTTGAAAAATGTTTTTGAGGAATGTGAAAGAAATAATATTTGAAAAAGAAGAGTGAAATAACTGTGATAATTAGCCGTGTGACCCATGTGTATTTAGCACACCTATGAGTGCTCATGTTATTCTGAAAGTGAAGAAGCCACGGGCGAAATGTGTTGTTCGCTCCTAATAAAATCACAGTAATTCAGTTCAGTGTGCGGTGGTTTATGTTATTTTAGAGTACAAGTGTAGTTTGAGTTTTGACCTCTGCGTCATGCTCATTGGAAATAGGTTAAGTTGTGCCAGAAAACCTCACTGTGCTTCCCTCTGCACTCTGCCAGCCCGTTTCTGCCAAAAAAAGATGAATAAAAACGCTACATAGACACTCAGCCTAAAGATTTTAGAGCTGAGGGTAGGGGTGTGCCATATCATCTCATTCTGATAATACCGGTGTAATTCTTAATATGGTATGAAAAATTGATGTCGTGATACTTACGATATTACGATGTGTTGACATATTGACATCATACTGTTACCCACGGCAACAACAAGCATGGCTGAAGGTGAAATTATTACAGACGCCACGGTGGTTCCAGAAAGAGGAGCAGCTGCAGTACCGTGGAATAAACAGTGGCGTCCTGAATGTTTTATGAACAGCCCCGGACTTCTCAGACTCTTTTAGTGAGGTTAGAGGGAACTCATTCAGCGGATCCTCTGGCAGCAGCACGTTATCTCTCACTCTCCTCTCTCACCGTGCGCCCACAGGAGTTGGTGTACTGAAGTCATTTTGTCATAAACCTTTGGCAATGCAGTGTGACGCTCACAGCTCGACAAAAAACTCCATATATGTGAATGTGCAATAGTTGTGGTATCATAACAGCCTGTCACAGGTTACAGCGAGATGATTAGAGGAGAAATGGCAGAGCATAAAGGTCCAGGTGGAAAAAAATAACTCAGTCATTTAGGATTTTACTAAAAGATGGAAATCAGCTGTTGATTTATATAAATATATAGATCCCAGGGGACATTTTTTGTATTTGGGAGCTGTTTAAATGTGTAGTTAGTGGTAGATTTTATTAATATTATATATTGTTCACAAACTAAAGAAATGAGAGATCATTTTTGTTTATTTTTTTACTGAATATCTGAAGGCAAACTGTAAAACTAAATATATTTTCTAATTTGTCATATCGTCATGACTATTGCAAAAATACCCTGAAACACGTGATATTATTTTAGGCCGAGGATGTCAAGTCTCCTCCTGCTGTGATAAGCAGGAAGTTCCTGTTAACTGGCCGAATGAATCATGTGGTCTCTGACTACAGCAGCAGGTGTCGGGACGCTCTGAAGTTCATGAGGTCTGTTTGAGGAGCCTGCATGGAAAAATCACTTAGTGCTGCTACGCTGCTAAAATTAACATTTAATCAATGCAGCACACATCACAGACAAGGTCTCTAATTTTAATGACAGATCAATACCTGCCCCACAAATGGTCCGATCAATCTGTGGGTTGAAGTCATCTTAAGTGCTGAAGCTTCTACAAAAGACTCCAGAGAACTCAGAGAAATACATTTTCTGTGCAGCGATGGAAGATAAAAGGCGCGCATGTGTGTGTGTGGTTGATAAAAACCAGGCAGCCATGACTTGTTACTGAGACACAGACATTCTCTTCCTCTGCTACATATTAAACCTCCATCTGAAAACCTCTGCGGCTTTAAATTCTCCACTCTGTCTGTTGCGTCTGTGTTTCCTCCACAGGTGAAGTCCAATTAGAGCCTGTTCCCAGTCCAGCTCAGTCCAGTTTGGTTCACATTTTTTCCATGTTAATTGTGAAAAGATGTAGATGGTACTGATAAAACTGCCTCTGTTTTTCGCCACCCCTCTGTTGAGGTACCCAGCTTAGTGATAATGTGCTAAAAGGTGGAGCTGTGAACACTGCAGTCCGTTGCCTGGTCAATAGAGGACTGTCACTCTGCTCAGGGCTGAGGTGAGCCTGATTTTGAAGCTTATGTAACCACTGTTATTTTGTTCAGAAAATGCTGGGGATAAACGAGGTGCAAACTTCCCTCTGCATCACTGGTGAAGAGGAAATACAGCGAGAGCCAGCAGGTTTTTAGAAAGTTGCAGAACGCCGCATTGCGAGTAGTTGCATGTTTAAACTCGTCTCGTCATGAATCTCTGGTCTGAACTGGGCTTAAGAGTTCTGTCTGCAGTGGAAACACTAAACAGATCTACGGTACATGTCCACTCCTCCAGCTGTTTATCATGTTTATACATATGTACACTTTCACTTTCATCACAGGATTCGTAACACCACGTGCATATGCATGGTAGGAAGGTAAAATCTGAGCTGTGCACGTAACTCTCTGCTCTACATGAATCACATTTATTGTTAAATTGAGCTTTGATGTTGTAGTTTAATGATGACATTGAAAGATTTTCGATCTAGTGACCCGCAGGTGGTCATTTGAGTGCGTCCCCAGTAATCCCTTTGCTCGGCCTGCTGCCCCCGGATAAGTGGATGAAAATGGATGGATAGATCCTAAAACATTAAAATTCTACTGTATATATGTGGTGGTTCAACATTTTGAGAAATTTGTGTATTCTCTTCCTTCTGCTTGTTGAGATTATGAACAAAACAGGATCTTGTCTTGCACAACGTATATGATATTTACAGTCAGTTCCACCGCCAGTGGAAATATTTTATCAACATGACACATCCCCTGGACAGTAAAACATCATCGGGTCATTGTCAATATGAGTCACTACAATATCTATAAGTGGCACAATCACATTGTCACAGTGTGTAAGGCTTGGGTGGTTCCTGGTATATGTAGAAATCCAAACGGTATGATTTACAATACCGCCAAAAATACAGATGCTCATCTCTCTATTACCCTCATACAGGAACGGGAAGAGATAACACCACACACAAATACCGTCATATATCATATACCCTGGTGAAATTCAAGGAAGCAATGATGGTATAAAAAACATAGCTACCGCCCAGGCCTACAATGTAGCAGTGTCAGAGAAAAACCAAGGTGTGTCTCCTGGACAGTAAAGCACTGTTGTCATCGACAAGAGTGAAGACAGCATCTGCTGTCACAGCGTTGTGTCATAACATTACAGGAAAGTCTGTGGTAATATCTTACATATTGCTGAATTCAGGTACATTTTATGAACCTATAAATACACAGTTATTGCCGACTGGCAGTCCCCAAGGACTTTCGTGTTGCCCTGCTGCCTTTACAATGAAATGATGGTCTTCAGAAAGCTGGGGGATGATGGCATGCTGTGCAGAGCACCAGAACAAAAACACCAACACATAACCGATGGTTACATAATAACATCAACATCACACCTTTCACTCTCAGTGGTTTCTGTTACGTGAGAAATACTTTTGAACACACAACGCCACTGTTTCAGTTCAGATTTGCTCACAATGTAGTATTGGAAAAAATTATAGAGTGCGCAATTATAGAATCCTGGGCGCATTGAAGGTAAATTTACTGCGCCTTTTCAGATTTTAATGCATCAAGAGCACAGGCCATGCAACTAAAGCCAGAGCTGTCTTACGTTTTCAAAATGGAGTGACGGCTGTGAGATAGTTCAGGCAGCCAACTCGAGCTGCACTGATTCATACACACACGTCATACATCACTCTCCATATGTCGTTGTACAAAACACACCCTCTCAATCTGGCTGTCTATTTAAGCTGCAAAATCTTCCCAGCGCTCCCTTTGCATTGTCAATGCCGCTGCTGCCCTGAATCAGTACTGCTGCTCACTCTTTCAGCACCACCCTACCAGGCCCTACCATTTACAACGTGAGTTGTCTGACTATGTTTTTGCAAAAGGCGTGAAATATTAAGAATTAAAATTCCGTTTCACGTGTGTTTCAGTATGTTTCTGACTTTCTGTTGTCACCTTGATGCAGTGTACGGATCAAACCATATTTGGGCACGGGAAGTTGTCCTACCTGCTGAAGGCGTATATAACCAGGAAGTTGCCGACCATGCCGGTGATGCCGATGGCGAGGATGACGGAGCCGATGGTGTAGTGGGCGTGATCAGGCACGTCCACCGTGGGATAGGGGTGCGGGACCTCGGGCGCCATCGCCACCTGAAGGACCAAACAGGAAATTATAAATGTGGAGATGTGACAGATGCACCCGTATCTTTCTCATCACCTCACTCAAAAATAGTAAAAGACAAACATTTCGATTTTTTGTTTTTTGATGGATGATGGCGCCCTTAGCATCCGCCTATACTGCCTGTGCCACTGGCCGACCCTGGTGTCCAGTTAGGAATCAGTGTATGGCAAATACCTTGTCTATGAAAATCTACTTGGCAATAAATCTGATTATGATATTTATCAAAAATTCCTCCACGATAAAACCTCAAGGATCCACATGTATCTCTGAGACCTGAGAGAAGGTAAACCACCGTGACACACACGACATGTGGGAGTGTAATCTGGAGTTATGTAATGAATTATCAGCAGTTCAGTCACTTTTCTCTTTTGTGTCTTCCAGAGGAAGAACCGAACCTTCCGCCTGCGAGGCCGATCATTGTTTTAAGGAATTTGCTGAGGTGACATGAAAGTAGTATGAGGAGAGATTAAAAAGTCCTTCATATCAATGACATTATCGTTCCACACATTTAAAATCCGTCACATCCTTAAACCTCCCTAATCACCAGCTACCAGCCTTAATTCCTTTTGAAAAGACTAATATCTCCACAAGTCCTGAGCATCACTGTTTCTAATTAACTCTTGGCTCCATCTCTCCATCGTGTCTCAGATCTCTTCATCCCGACTCCCCGTTGCCACGTTAACGGCATAAATTACTCCACCGCCAGCGGAAATATCAGGCACAGCTCATCAGAGCTGGAGGTCATTCAGAGCAGCAGCCTGATTAACTTGACTGAGAACTTCACTGGAGTTTTAATAAAAATATCTTAAAGTTCAACAGACCCTGGCATACCAGAGGACTCCCACTCCACATGTCCCCACATACCAGTAAACTTCCTGCACAGCAGTGGTGGAATGTAACTCAGTACATTTACTCAAGTACTTCAGTACAGTTTTGACATATTTTCATTTTCTGCTGCTTTGTGCTTCACCACATCTCAGGGGGAAATGTTTATTACTTACTTTGACGTTTTGAATGAATGCTTCTGTAACCAGAGACCCCTACATGTTCTTACAGTCTGAGTCTGTTTCTGTTGCTGTTCAATAAAGAGTCACCTGCAGAGACAGCTGTTTAAATCACACAACTATCCCACTGTGTTTTTGATTTATTACCATATATTTATTAATTAATCAGCACCCAGTGTGTCTGGCAGCAGATTCCCCTCACTCGCAACCGTGGGCTGAAAAATAATAATTTTCAACCACTTATCCGAAGCCAGGTCGCGGGGGCAGCAGGCAGAGCAACGCTTTCCAGCTCCTCCTGGGGGACCCTGAGGTGTTCAAAGGCCAGATGAAATATGTGTTCTGGCTCTGCCTCCAATGGGAGGCGCCCAGGTCCACGTCCCCGGAGCCAGTCTGCGACACCACCTGCACCTGCACCTGGCCCTGATGCCAGTCCCTGCAGGTGGTGGGCCCACAGGGTGGCGGCTCCATGTTATTCATTCTGGCTGAGCTTGACCAAGCTATATACTCCAAGGCCTGTCCGCCAGACACACACTGGCTGGCTCATACCGGGTGAGCTACACTGTCTCAGAATGTGCTGTTTCATCGTGCACTTCTTGAACCACTCTTAGTCTGGCCCCTCCTCTGGGACCACCCTACCAGGGGCTATTAGCCCCGGACAACACAGCTCCCAGGATCACAGGGACACGCAAACCCCTCCACAACGTTAAAGTGGCGATTCTTGGAGGGCAATCAATACACACAAACACTGATGATTTCCTCCTGTGGAGCTGACACAAAGACTATTTTTGTACATTGACAGTCTGCTGTCAGTCAGCCTGGTGACGGCAGTTTGAGCCGCCTCTGTCCTCTCAGCTCGTCAGGACAGACGGCTGCTTCTGTGGTCAGAGACGGGGTCAGTGTTTATCTAACACTACTGTTTCTGTAACAATAGCAATGCCACCAATCACACTGTGTCACAAAATATGATGTTGTCCACAATATAACAAAATTCTCAAGCTGCGCAACATGAAAGAAAAGTGTTGTGTGACACGTTTTTCTATCGAACATACGTCAATTCTATCAAGCAGCACTCATCAAAATTGTCGTGTGCCTAAACATAAATTATTCACATAATTAACATAAATTCATTGTGCGTGCCAGCTGATGACATAAAACTGCATTACAACATTGAATGTCAGGAACAAAGATACTAATAATGACCTTGCTGGCTTTCTTCTGCATTACAGGACAGGTACCCACTTTGCTGTTGTACGGCCAATAACAGATTCTTTTCTTCCTCTTTGACAGTTTTGTCAGTAATTTTGCTGATACACTGTGCTGATTATGATACATCACCACCGACTGCACTTAAAAATGACATAAATCCACAGAGTGTAACGCTTCTTAGAAAAGTGTTTTTCATGATGACATCTGTCAGAGTTTTGTCGAGAGTTGGTGGGGTGATATTTGACAGAAGCAGTCACCTTGTAATCCTCCATGCAGGAAAACCCTGATATAGATCAATATGTTAGCAGAGTGAAAATCTATGAAAACCTTCTAAGGATTCTTCCTTTATACTCTCAGGTGTTACATAATGATTGATGCATGACCTTTTCCCATACCATATTATCCACGGAAAGATTCCAGTGTGATATTTAAAGACAAAAAACAGTTTTCACCTCAAACAACGATAAAATGTTACTGAAAATCTTTCAACAAATTCTGTCCAGAGTCCTGCATGTTTCCACTTTCACAAACCCACCCAGCTGCACAGCTCAGCATCAGGACCGACTCGTTACCTGCAATTATCTCAACATCAATTCTGGACACAACCTGACACACGTTTATATAAGACTTAACGCTTGATTAGTAGGGTAATCAGATCTGTTCTGAGCTGCTGCTGCTGTTGCTGGGCTGTGAAGAAAACAACTGTAGATGACATGCAAAGAAAGGAACCATCATATAAGGAGGGAAGGTGTCCACATACTTTTGGCCGTGTACGATCACTTCCCATATGTGAAAATAGGAGATTTCCAAATACCACATGAAATCACGTCACGTCAGCGTAAATATTTCTAGGATTGCTGCAGTTTAAGCATGTTGCCATGGTTACAGTGAGACATGCGATTAAACTGGAGCCAGACCACTAAAACAGTGTCACACTCACACACACAAACCACCCAGCCAATCAGATAGGAGCACACTGGAGCATGATGTTGATGCTGCAGTGACCCATAAAACCAGAAGTCACATTCAGTGTGTTTCAGTTTAAATGTGCATGAAGTTTTTTTTTATTTGTGCTCACAGCTGAGAACGAACATTCAGCCTTAACGAAAGAAGAAGAGGCTGTGAAGGACGCGGCGACAGTGATGGAGTCAGACATGTTATGACAACAGGAAACAAACAAACAAACATGTCGGCTCAAGGACACACATCCATCTGACTGACTGCAGCCTCACAATAACAATCAGCAGCTTCGCTAAACCAAAACTCTCACATCTCTTTGATTCAGCGTAAACTGTTTAGAAAATAATGCAGTTGCACTTTGTTATTTTAACCTCCTGAGCCCTGATATTACTTAGTTTTAGCTTGAACGCTAACCCTTTCAACATCTTCAAAGAGTACTTTAAAACCTCAGATTTCTGCTCTTACAGCGCATGTCCTGATCAGGAGCTGTGGCCCAGAACAGAGAACATAATGTTTTGTACTTCAGAGCATCAAGTAGGGCTGCACTATATGCAAAATTAGAATTACTGCCTCCGGGTTACATGCCTCTGCGAAACAGTCAAGTTACAGTTTGCAGTTTACATCCATGTCTGTGGATGCCTCACACACATCTTTCCCCGAGCAGCACAGATCTACACGATGAGCACAGTTTCAAGATGAACACCCACAAACAGTGTCACCAATTCAGTATGTGACCAGATGTCATTGTCATCTCTGAGTTATGACGTTGAGTAATGCCAGAAAAGTGTTTCTGCAGAACATGATGATGTCACAGTGAAGCTGACCTTTGACCTTTTGGATAATAAATGTCATAATTTTACCTATTTGACATTTGTGGTATATTTTATCATAATTAGTGTATGAATTCTTGAGCAATGGCCAAAAACCTGTTTTGTAAGGTTACAGTGACCTTTGACAACCAAATTCTACTCAGTTCATCCCTGACTCAAAGTGGACGTTTGTGCCAAATTTGGGGAAATTAACTCAAGGCCTTCTTGAGACATCACTTTCACAAGAGTGAGACAGACGCAGGGTCACATTGACCTTGACCTCTGACCACTAAAATCTAATCAGTTCATTGTTGAGTCCAAGTGAACTCTTGTGCCCAGTATGAAAAAATTCCTCAAGAAAGGGACAGACAAACATAATGCCACCTGCCACAGGTATCGCCGGCGCGGAGGTATAAAAATCATATTGCCATTATTTTGACTGATATTGCAATAATATTCCTTATGGAACATGATTTGTAGGTCAGGCATCTCTGTAGCACCACAATGCTTTATTCATACAGGGGCCATAGGACACAGCACATTTTTTATTTATTTTTTTGTAATTACAGTTGAACTATGAGCTGAATTTACACTTCGCTACAAAAGCCAGCAGCATGACACTGAGCATTTAGTCTGTGCTGAGCGCTCTACATTTGGCATTTTTTTCTCAGAGCACTCGTCCCTGTCACTTTTTACCCAGCCATTGAATCACAGTAAGTGGAGGAGGGACAAATACCACGAAGACCAACCATCACATCTTACATGTACAAGTATGGAGCAATAGTAATGGAGAAATCTGTTATTATACCGTACATGTATTAATATATGTTTCTGTTCATGAACCCACACAGACTGGCAGGTCTGTCCTCTCTCCCTGTGTGCTTCAGCCTTCAATTCATTTAGAGCAGGCCCTCTACCTTGTGCCGACATGTTTACTTTACCATGGATATTCTATATCATGGCAACCACATGGAACCAAAGCATCTCAGC